GTCGATACAAAAAATAGCTTCGATGTTTTGAAAAATACCTTGGTATCAATACTCCTAGAGAGAGTATAGATACTCTACCCTTGGTATCGATACTACCATGAGTATCCATACCAAAATGGTATTCTGGAATTCTAAAATTTTCACGGTATCAATACCACCCTCTGAGTATCGATACCCTCACAAATTGCCTTGTTTTTAACCTATACAAAGAACAATATCAGTATTGTTCCTACAGTACCGATACCGACAGTCTAGAGTGCCCTATTTTAGGGACAAAATTGCATCTAAATCTCACCCTAAAACTAGCAAAGCTTATTAAAGTCTTATTTAAGGTATTAGAGGTCAAAATTTATCATCTTTCATGCAAACAAACATCAAATATGAAATTAACCATGAATTTACTCTAGCATGTTTTCATGAACTAAATAACCATATATGCCCATACAATGACCTACATGTGGTATGGTCAAGTTAGAATCGTGTTAACTTGATGCTAGGTGACTGGAAAACGTCCTTGAATCACCCAAGAGTTAGTTTCTCATTGCATCTTGCCTTAGAGCTCTCACCATTCTCTTGCACTAATTAAAACAAGTATAATAAGTTGTTAACTCATTTAAAGCTTAAGGGAGCACTAGAAACAATTCTTACAACTCAAAACTCCCTAAAAATGGATTAAAACCCCAAGGTTCCATAAACCCCGCTAAAACCCACCATTGGAAAAACTAAGTCAAATCTTACAAATGAGGGCTAAAATGGAAGCTTGGGAGATGAAGATTGTAATTCTTACCTTAGTATTTTCAAATGGTTCTTGGAATCCTTAAAGGTCAAAGCTTTTGCTTGAATCTTTGAGAGGAAAGAAAATGAAGATATGAAGGAAAAGAAACAAACAAATGATGAAAAGAGGAGAAGTGACAGACGTGATATCATCCCATTAATTGGGATTTCAGCTTTATTTTTGAAAAATGGGGGAATTACTCCCGTAGTCCCTTCACATTTTGGTCAAGATTAAAAACTCCCTTTTTAATTCTTATTGGGCTCATCTCAAGCCCAAATCAAATCTTCTTGGGTCACACTACACAAAGCCAAGGGGAATTTATTCTAAGGTCCATTCGAATAAACCTGAAACTCCTAACCCATATTTCAGGGCATTACATTTGGTGATTATAGTTAAATTGTATAAATTTTATAGAAACGAAATTTTACTGAATTTCAAAAGATAAATGTTTTATAAATGTTATGTGATATCTCTGACTCAGTTTCGGTGTCGAATATGGGAAAAGCAGTGTTACACATTTGATATAAAATAAAATAATTTTTATAATTATAATTTAGTCTATTTTTATTTTATATTCTTATCCTTTGAATAATTATATATAATGGTAAAATAAAAATTTTAAATAAAGGAATGGAACATGTCGGTACAAATAAATACCAAAACAACTTCACGTCCACCTTCTAAAAAATTGTATGCTCTACTCCAACCTTCATGTAATATTTAAAAAATTGAGGGTAGCGTTTGATTGAGTCGAGTTGAGTCAAATTTTTTTAATTTTTCGAGTTAACGAGTTATATTTTATAACTCAAATTTTATTTAAATTTTTTTTAATTGATTCAAGTTTATAAAATTCAATTCGAGTTAAGTTTTTCGAGTTTCTATTTAAATTTAATTATAAATATTTATATAATTATGGTACTCTTTGATTACATTTTTTAAATGTTTTTCTATAATCATATACAGTACAAATACATTTTTTTCATATTTTTTATATGTGATATATATATATATATCATATAGAGTTGAGGGACTCGACTCAAGCTTGAAAATCAATTAATTAATTACTAAAAGATTCAACTTATTTGAGTTATTATTCAAATTCTATTTTATAACTCGACTCGAATTTTAAAAAATTAAGTTGAGTCGACTTTATAAAAGGCTTAAATATACAAAAGGTGTCCAACCTATGCCCATTTTTTCAGTTTAGTGCCTAACGTTTATATCGTTCTAGTTTGGTGTCTAACGTTTCATTCCGTTACTTATTTAGGTGCCCTGGCCGTTAACGACATTAATTTCCCCGTTAAGTGACACGTGTCACAACCTGGTAATTTTTTATTTTTTTATTTAAAATTAAAAAATTAAAATTATATATATATATATATTAAAAAGAAAACATAAATTTTGAAATAAACCAAACACTTTGAAAACATTCATTTCAACCCTTAAACTCACGACGACCGCCTTTTTCCGTTGACGAAGCTCCACCTTACCTCCCCTCCCCTCGGTGACCAAAACTCCCATAAAATCATGATCGATCGACGCTCAATCGATGACGAACAATGTTTTATACCCCACGAATCCTATGATGAAAATCACGATCCCATGCGATTCCGACGTCAGATCGACCGTCAATCGATCACGATTTCATAGAGATTTTGGTCGTCGAGTGGAGGAGAGGTGGGGTGAAGCTTCGTCGACGAAAAAATGCGATGGCCGATATAGGTTTAGGGATTGAAATGAAGGTTTTCAAAGTTTTGGGTTTATTTCAAAATCCGTGTTTTCTTTATATATATATAATTTTAATCTTTTAATTTTAAATAATTTTTTAAAAAATACCAGGTTTTGACACGTGTCACTTAACGACTAAACTTAGTTGCCCGTCACAGCTTGACCCATTTTGAGTAACGAAATGAAACGTTAGGCACCAAACTAGAACGAAATAAATGTTAGGCACCAAGCTAAAAAAAGGGATATAGGTTAGGCACCTTTTATATATTTAAACCTTTATAAATTAGGAGTCAAGTCAATTAGAGGAAAGTCAAGAAATTTGATTTTTAGATTTGAATTCAGTTTTACTCAGCGCTAAATAAATACGGTCCATTCCTAAGCAAAAAGATTTAATTAAAATATTTCAAAAATATAATGCTACTTTAAAATTGTCATCATAATTCAGGGATGAATAATATAAATAACTCAGACGGAAAGAAAAAGTAAAATGGGGGAGGGAAATGGCATGTCCATTGCTGCAAACACAACCATGAACTCGATGGCGTTATAACCGTCGGATCGAAATACCAAAATCCAAGGGTGGAGATAAAAACCCTAAAGGCATAAAATGCTGGAGCTTGGAGGGTAGGAGCTTCAGCGTGCTTACGGGGTCATAGAAAAACCCTATTTTGTTCAACCCCATCTTTTCCCAGTTGTAGTTTCAGTCTCAGTCGCGGCATATCTATTATATTTCCCATTCTTTAAAGGTTTCAATCTCTTAATTCTCTGTTCCTTTTATCATTTGGCATCTACGTTTTGTGAAAGCCGTCGTTTATTCCATCTCTATCATTTTAATTTTTAATCAATTTCTGATTTCTTCCCCCCCCTCTTTAGATTGTTTTGATTTGCGTTCTTGATGACCCTTCTGTTCATATATTTTGGGTAAATTATTGTGTGAAAAATCTTCCGGTTGATATTCTTTTCTGCTGCTTAAGTTTCTCTTTTTTTAGATTTCCAGCTAATCTTATACTTTAACGCGTAAATACAATTGCTGTAAGTAAATTAAGGTACCTGGTATTTTTGTATAAAGTTGTCATTATTATTTTTTTCTTTTCAAAAATGTATTTTCTGTTTTTTTTATTTTCCCTCTTGGAAAAGAGTAAATATAAGATTGTGACTGAATTGCTTTTTGTGGTTTTGGGGTGGGTGTTTGAAGCGTGAGCTAATTCATTTCTCTTGTGTTTCCCAGGATTTGCTTGCATATTGTGTAGTACATGGTGTTTTCATGTGTGGTGTTTTTTATTGATTTGCTTTAATAATTTTGCTAAGCATGTTGTCTCAAGTTTCTCTTATTTTATTGTGATATCGGTTGTACTTCTCATTGACTAGCTGTTTATACCCATGGGCAGATGAATAAGGAGAGGCTCATGAAAATGGCTGGTGCAGTCCGCACCGGTGGGAAGGGTAGCATGAGAAGGTATGTCCATGATTTGAATTATCTATATTAAGCTTTTATCATCTCCAAAAATAGGAGGCAACTGTTGTGCTCAGTTGTTTACGAGAGGCTCTTGAATCATGCTTTTGTCGGTAGTGAATTTTTATCATTTCAAATAGAATGTCTGTATGATCAACATATCATGTCAAGCAGAATGTTCTTACCCTCTAGTCATTCATAACTTGGAACTTCAATTCATCTGCATTGTATGCCATGTGTTAGGTCCATGAATTTGATGTCCCTATATGGCTTGCTTTTCAATTATTGTCTTGTTATTTTGACTTGTGTTTATAGAAAGAAGAAGGCTATCCACAAGACTACCACCACCGACGACAAACGGTTACAGAGCACCCTCAAGAGAATAGGAGTGAATGCTATTCCTGCTATTGAGGAAGTCAACATCTTCAAAGATGATGTTGTTATCCAGTTTATTAATCCAAAAGGTATATATAACTTTGTTGAAGTGGATTGGGTGATTTTCTGAGGTTTTGCATTACAAACTAATACGTGATGGTCTATATTGCAGTTCAAGCGTCTATTGCTGCCAACACCTGGGTTGTTAGTGGTCTGCCTCAGACAAAGAGTATGCTTCCCTAACTTCTAAGCCTCAAGTAGTTGATAAAATCTTATTGTTATTCACCCTTTGAAGATTTGCTATTTTCAACTCCCAAGCCATTAACACTTTTTTTTTGTGGGGGGGTTTCTTGTCATCCACTATGCCTTTTTTCTGTTGTTTTCTAGCTTTATTGGTCTGACTTGCCCTTTCTTTCCCTATTCCAGAATTGCAGGATATTCTCCCTGGAATCATCAACCAGTTGGGTATGTACACTTGACTGTGGGTAGCTTGGATTCTTTATTTTGGTGATTGTAAAACGATGTCAGCTGTTGACCCATATTGTGAAACTTGTAGGGCCAGATAACTTGGACAACTTGAGGAAATTGGCCGAGCAATTCCAGAAGCAGGCACCAGCTGCCGGTAGTGGTAGTGATGCAGCCGCCACTCAGGAAGAGGATGATGATGATGAGGTACCAGATCTTGTACCTGGTGAGACCTTCGAAGCTGCAGCAGAAGAAGGCCAAGCTGCTAAATAGTGTTTTTATTTTTTCTGTTAATTTTGTCGCTATGTTTTGGATGAATTACACTTGTTTCTCTTTTGTTGTTTTTGGTGCTTTATCTTGTACTCTTGAGAGTAAGCCTTTTTTTATCTAGAGTTTTTTTTTTTTAAATTATTGCTGCAACCAGAGACTTGATGCATTCTCCTGAATATGATAATCTATGCAGTATGTCTACTTATCTACTAGGAATGTTGCAGGTAGCTGTAGGATAACTTTTTTGGTTTTCAGGTGAATGAATTGAGTTATATATGTTGGAATATATAACCGCTTCCACCAATCGACTTTTGTATGTCCTCAGTAAGTAGAGGAATTTGACATCCATTTGTTTAAGTCCTCCTGAAATTGTGAATGACAACTTTTAAAAGTGCGATGATCAAGATAAATATATTGCTTTTATGGATGAGATCCATGATGGTGTTAAATAGATTTTATAAATCAAATTTAATATTTAATTTCAGTTTATTATTAAATAAAATTTGGATGAAATTCATATTGCTGTTTAAAAACTATAGGGAATAGTTCTGTGACAGACAAATCGTTATTCTAGATTGATTCTGTCGAAATGATTTTTTCTTAAAGGTGAAAAAAGTGAGATTTTAAAAATCATATTAATTTTTAATTTACATCTTTCAATTGATTTTTAATTTAAAAACAAATGCGATTTAAAAAACCTCTCGTTTCGAAAAATTTTAGATTTCTTTTAGGAAAAAAAAAACGGTTCGAAGAGTCATCATCAATCCTTGATTAGGGTGTGATTGGGCACCCAAAAATGTTTATTATTTTAAATAAATTTTTTTTAATTAAAACAACAAATTAAGGTATGCGTTATCAAAATCTGAGTTCGGGAGTCGATTACGTGCAGGGAAGGATTAGCACCCCCACAACGCCCTAAAACGGTACCTAGTCAATTAATTGGCTTCTTTGCAATGAACTTTACAAATTCGAATTCAATTTGATTTTTGATCCCATAAAACAAAGATGTAAATTTAAAAACATTCAAAAGCACTCAAATAAATTAAATTAAAATTACCGAGTCGTTTTAGAAAGATAAAGAATGTTCAATTATTTACAAATATCGAGATTAGATCTTAAAAGTTATAACAACCTTTTCTCGATAAATTTAAATAAGCGAACATTTCTTTTTCTTCCATTCTCAAATTTTAAAATGATGGATCATTTTTTAGGTGTCATTGATGGGATATACTTTTAATTTAAAATTGTTAGAAACGGACCTCTAATCAGTTAAGACAGCCCGCTTAGAACGATTTAAAATTAAAAGTCTATTACCCTTAATCCAATTATGTAACATGTCGAGTTATGCAAATGAGGTTTTCATACATATTATACAAAACAGGTATCATGTAATTAACAATATTAATATACAAATAAAAAGGGCAACCATCGCATAGAATACATTATTCGCACAACTTACATATGTTTTTAGTAAAATAATATGATTTCACCCTTAATTATAACATACAATACATGCCCAATTAATATTTATAAAATAATAAATCGTGTTTACAAAATAATAAGTATAACTTAAATAGCCTATACGCATAGCATTGAAACATGGCATAATGAAATTACATGTATCCTATATATCTATACATAATGCAATAAAATATACAACGTAATATGATACAAGTTGAATCTATGTACTCATAAATATTCTTATATACAAAGGAGTTAACTTACATGCTTAAACAAGAAAAAGAGTGATTAAAACCCAATAATAACAAATTTAAGGGAAATAACCAACATACTAAACAAATACAGGCCATTTTAACATGAAGGATGAATAATTCGGACCCTAAGTTGCTAATAAACCACAAGCATGCATAGGACTGAAATAAAAAAAAACTCAAAACAACAGACCAAATACGTGAATAGTATGAAATGCAAACAAATAAACTAAGTGGACTAAAACCTAATTTACCCTAAAGCGTCAATGGCTAAAACTTAATTTACCATAAAACATTTAATATAACCTAAATGAAAACTAACCTACACTAAACTCACCTATGTCGTTCCTCATTTCACTATTCCCTCTCTTCCACGCACGGTTAAAGCTTCGCCCAAGCATCCATCGTCGCTGTTCAAGCCACTCCAATAATCTCATGCAATTGATCGCTCTATCACTTCATTCGAGTCATTCGCCAAGAGTTGAAGTAGGTAATCGGAGGTGTGGTCGTTGGGTAGAATGACGAAAGGTTTTAAGGACTTGTAATTAATTTTAGGGGCTGTAATTTGGGACTTTCAATAGGAAAAGAATGAGCTTTAAGTTCAGTTTGGTTGATTCGTTCGACCAACAATGATGATTGTCGGAGTTGGATTTGAAGCCAATGTACGAAGTCTAATGGGGCTCTCATGGGTATCGATCGAAAGAACTCATTCCTCTAACTTATTCTCTTATTAATCGTTTAATTGATTTGATTCCCAAGTCTTAACCTTATGATTCAATTTTCATTAGGAAATCAAGAGTGAAGAAGGTCATCAGAGTTGCTGCGATTAGCAACAAGATAGCCGATATACCTCCCGATGATTACTCATGGCGAAAATATGGCCAGAAACTGGTCAAAGGTTCCCCTCATCCAAGGTTCGTAAAGATTAGTACTTTGCTCCTTCCGTCTTCAATCAACCGATCAAAACTTCTTACCATTTATGTTTTCTTGTGGGGTTCTTTTAATAGTTATTTCACCTGTTACCTGTTTGACCAAATGCCCCAAAAACACAACAAATTCAAATATGCATTTAACATCCTTTTGTTATCAACCGCAAGTGCCATTGACTTTTATTCCTACCGAGTGAATTCACTTGTAAAGGCTGTGCGAGCCGGCCTAACACTTTTTTTGGACAATTTACAGGGGCTATTACAAGTACAGCAGCGTCAGAGGTTATCCTGCAAGGAAACATGTAGAGCGAGCTCTAGATGATCCAACGATGCTGATTGTAACATATGAAGCAGATCACAATCATAGCCACAACATCAACGATGTGTCACCAGCTTTGATTCTCGAATCATATTAGGTCCCCACCACTCATGCAACCGGCCATGGAAAAATATAATCGAAAATGGTCTCGAAACAAGGAGATTGGGTAGTTGCTCTTAAACAAAAGACGGTGCAGGATTCTGTATATTGGACATTATTTAGTTTAATAATGTTAACCTCAATCTCTTAACTCTCGAACGACAATTACTCAAGGAAACCAAGCGATCAATGACTCAACTAATCACCAAATGATGACTACGATGCAAATGGAAAACAAAACCGAGCAAGGTAAAGTAACTAACTCATATTCCTGTATTTTACTTGTTTAGAAATAAAAGCAATCGTAGAAATCACCAGCTATTGAAATAAAGATAGAAAATACCAAATGAATTGTTCTTTGCTTGCTATTGCCTTCCCGAAAGACGAGGATCGAGCCTCTGTTACACTGTTTGATCTTTGACTATCGAAAGTGTTGTTTTTTTTTTGCTTCTCCTTTCTCCTTCTCTTGTGTAAAAAATAAAAAAATAAAAAATCAGACCCCCCACGTTTTCCAGTAGTTAATCCCTTAAAACTGACCATTTCCTCCACTTTGCCTTGGTTAACTCCCAATAACCGCCTTTTTAATTGTTTAGGATTTCACGTGGACTGGCCTTGATCATTGATTGGGCCTCCAATTGCTCTGCTTTGGGTCTGCTCCGACTTAGCCCCAGAAAAAACGAGCATCTACAGCTGCCCCTCTTTGCTCATTGTCGTATAACGAGAATAGAGCAAAGATCAAAAGATGATCGAGTTTGTCCGGTCATGAGAACTTCAAAAGATTAAACCACTCACTGTTACTTCAGGATAAATGAAACTGTAAAAATCTTCAAATGATAAGTCTGCTCCCTATTTCTTCAGAGAGTATAAGACTTGATCTTCAACAAACGTGTCCGCTCCCTATTCCTTCAGAGAGTATAGGACTCGATCTTCAATAAAATGTGTCTGCTCCCTATTCCTTCAGAGAGTATAAGACTCGATCTTCAATAAACGTGTCCGCTCCCTATTGCTTCAGAGAGTATGGATCCCGAGCATCTTCTTCTTACGGGTTCGCTCCCTCTTTCTCTAGGGAGTATGGAACTCAAACATATTCTTCTTACAGGTTCGCTCCCTCTTTCTCTAGGGAGTATGGAACTCGAATATCTTCTTCTTACGGGTTTGCTCCCTCTTTCTCTAGGGAGTATGAAACTTGAATATCTTCTTCTTACGGGTTCACTCCCTCTTTATCTAAGGAGTATGGAACTCGAACATCTTCTTCTGCTTTACTACTTTCTTGTGAAGACTTCTAGATGATTTGCTTCACTACTCTCTCGTGAAGACTTAAGTTTGATTTGCTTCGAAAGTCGAACCTGAAAATCAAACATTATCAATCATTAATGTGTGCTTGAAAATTTGAAAATCATTATACTCAAAAATTTAGAATTTAAGAGAATCTTTTCGAATTCATTTCTCTTGTGAGAGCTTATCTCGCCGCAACTAAATGCGAGAGTCTTCCTTGACTTGACTGTCATTTGAACCCCTCCCTTCCTGGGATATTGAATCGGTTAATAACTCCTCGCGCGCGTTTCCTTTTCTTTGTACTCGAGAAATTTTGCTTTTTCTCCTACATCTGATAGTCTGATGGTTTGCTCCAACACTCTTCCGAGAATGTTTAAAAAGGATATGCTTCACTACTCTTCGATGAAGGCTTAAGATGGTTTGCTTCACTACTCTTTAGTGAAGGCTCAAAATGGATTTGCTTCACTACTCTTTGGTGAAGACTTGGCTTTGCCCCAATCTTCTGTGTACAAGTCACTTTAATCGAGTGATTTCTCTTTTCATAAGCGAACATCTCTGTTTTTCTTCTATATCTGATGGTTATCACTTTAGAGTAATGCTTCTTTTGTGGATTAGACCTCTCAATTCTTCAGGGTATGCCTCTCTAAATGTGATTTATTGCATTTGAGGTTTGAAATCTTCCTTTCGACTTGTCGGGCTTCTGACATTATGCATCTTCTCTTTTCACTGGAAGATCTGTCAAAACCATGTGTTTATGCATGAAACACGAACACAAATGCAATTAAATATATTAGTGTAATGCATTTTCTTTTATGCAAATGATGTTCTCATGAATGCATAAATGCCGATTCCATCTTCATTTGACTTTAAAGTGGTGAACTTAGTCTTCTTATACTTGATCATTCCTTTCCAGGACCTGCTTTATATACCCGTGTAGCAACTCATAATTTCCAACTTGCATTTTTGACGAGCCCTCTGATCTTCTTATATCTCCTTGTCGTATTTGTTATCTATCTTTATTTCGGAGAAAATGTTTTCTCTCTCAACTTCTTGCTATGGTCAGAAGCATGATTGTGTTGCCCCGTTTTTAGAGACTATGTACATGACTGCGCCAAACTCCACAAAGGTCAATGGGATAGTTGCATCTGTTCTGATTTGACTCTTGAAACATGACGCCAAGAGAACCCATCCAAATTTCATTTTCATCACATCATTTCTCATTTAACCTTGGAGTTGCGTAAGACAACCTTCATCTTGGATAATGGAAACAATACATGATCGCAACATTGATTCAACATCATATTTACTGGCTCGTAAAATATTTAACACATTCATCTTTTCCTGTGGCTTCTGCCCGTATCTTTCAATTGGAGAAGCTTTTTACAAAGCGCTCAGAGTTTTTTTTTTGCATGGTATTACAAGGATACCAAAACTCAATGGAGATTAAGATGGGATATTTTGGCTCGCCAACATTAATGCATGTGAAATCACTGGAATAATGCAACTGATGATGGACAAAATGATCATATATGGTAAACTCCACTGTCAATGTTTCACCATTTTCAACACTCATACATTTCTATCTCATTGGAATTATTTGTTTAATTCAATGATCGTTCAACAGGTCTTCATTGGCTTCCAAAGATGCCCCACATTAATACCTCTGGCTGAAACATGCCTTCACTAATGGCGCGACATTATCTTATTCTGATACGGGCCTTCAAAATACCCCAACACCTCAAATTGTAGGGCTCATTCCTTCTTCGTCTGAATCATGTCATCTCAAAATGATGGGGGTTCAGTCATGCCCCAGTGTGGGTATTCACGGCTCCCTTCGTACCAAGATCTCTTGACTTTGAATGCTCAAATTCTAGTGCCGCTACACAACAGTATAGTCGAATATCTTGAGGGTTTCTCTTCATGTTGCCCTAAACACTTAATAAGTGATCAATTCTTCTAACAAAATGTCTTGTGATTTTATACAAGCCGTAAGATGTGCCTCTTCTGAATGATGAGATCATATTCTTCTTGATGGGTTACTGACAACGTCACAAGGAAACGGTACAAGCTCCATTCCTCGTCCTTCTGATCTTTCAGACTATCTGCTTCAAGATTGCATAATGCTTCATGCTCCGGCATTGCTTATTCTTCTTCTCACATAGAGGCACAATGAGCCTCATCAACTCCAAGGACCTTTCATATTTGAACTGTCCTGTTTGAAAATGTTTTTTCCTTTTTCATATTTTAGGGATCAAAGAATGAAAGAATTTTTATAAAATATTGTCCCTTAATTCAGGCTCACAATCTAATCAAATCATAAACATGAGTTCACAGAATATCAAAAGAATCAATATCTCTTTAATATTTTTAGGGTTATAGCTCTTTGACAAATGTCAAAATCGAGGGGTTGACTTCAGGTTGGCTTCCTATTTTCTAAGGTTTCAACCACCGAAATATCATTTCCTTCTCGGTCATCGTGAATATTGCAACATGCTCTTCTTTCTTGGCTTGGTATTTTAATCGAATGCAGACAAAATGACGCAACTAGCATAATCCATTACTAGACTTTTTAGAACACTTTCATTTCAGTTCTCTGAAATCTTCCATTTGTTCAAGCTTCGTAGACTCCTCTAACCAAGGCAGTGCAGAAATATCGATCTAGAAATGAAATTTCTAAGTGCACGTGTGAAATTGACTATAACAAGTGTTCCTTAACTCGCTTAGTCTATTTTTGCCGTAACTCTTTATTTATAAAATTGATTTAATTTGCCATTGTCAGGCTAGCTGAAATTAATTTTATTGTAATTTGCCTCTATTGGGCTAGCTGAAGGATCCATCTCATCACAAAGTCTTTAACTTGACAATCACAGTGGAGCATACACCGAATTGCCAAGTATCCAATCAAGGTCATGGTTTGAATATAATCTATTCATAAAGCCAGGGCTTTCGAGTTTCCTCTATAACCAATTGCTTTAGCGGAATAGCTCAGCTTTATTTTATATATATAATCATTTTTATCAGGGTAGCTGAATTCTATCCATAAAGCTGGGGCTTTTAACCAATTGCTCTATAGGGACAACTCAAGCTTTATTATATACATATAATATTATAATCTGGGTATACGGATCCAATTTCTTAAGCTCTTCAAGAAGAACCTGTCATAGTCTAGGTGTTGTTGAAAGTCAGAAAATCTCATCGTTAGAGTTCAATTTCCAAGCAATTGACCTAAACTAGATTCATCTGCTTGACTATTCCATCCGTAAAGATCATAATCATCATTGAACGTCATCAATAAAAGTGTGGTCTATTCAGTTTCGTAACATCATACACAAAAGATGCCCCATGTTGCCTGCTTCTGTGCATACCTGAATACCAAGCCTATTGTTCATCCCCTTATGATAGAAGAAGGCTATATCGGTCCCTACAAGAAAAGGGTATAGTGTTCAATTGTATCTTCTGGGGATAAGGTCAAGGTCCTTGTTTTATTAGGTTTTAACCTTGTCATTTTGTCAAAGATTTATAACTCTAATCATTAAAGAGCTTCTAATTCAGTTGATATTCAAAGAATTCCAAGTCGTAAATTCGATTCAATGCTCACCATCCATAAAGTAGCATGAATTCAATTAAAATATCCTTAAAAAAAACTGAGAAATGATGAAAAACAAGTTCAAACATGATGTTGCAAATGGGAAATGCGATTGTGGTGGAGCACAACCTTCACTTGTTCAACTAAAATGCCCTACTTTCCCTAGAATGACGGGTGCCCTGTTGGATTAGGGTTTTCATCAGCATTCTCTCCCCATATCTCGATTATTTCTCGTGTCAAGACTCCTTTATCAACGAGATTTTCTATCTCTTCCATCAACGGTATGCACTTGTCAGTGGGATGACCTAATTCCCCCATATGAAAATCACAAGCACTATTCGGGTCGTAGCCATAAGCGGATGGGCTAGTCTTCATTCTTAATGGCCTTGGAGTGAGGTATTGATTCTTGATTAAAGGGGATAACAAGTCGGAAATGGGCACTTGAAAAACCTTGAGGGTCGTATTTTCCCAAGACATTTTCTACGGCCAGTCTCGGACTACCTCTTCTTTAACTTTCTTCTTGTTACTTCCCACTTCTATCTTCTTTTTTAGCATCAAAGAGGTCTCAAGAGTTGAGTCCTTTATCTCTGCTTCACATATCTCGTTTTCCTTGATTTTATTTTTCTCCTCTTCAAAACTCTCTTTGGCATGTACTTCACTTGTTTCAACCCCATCAACTTCATTCTGGTGATTAATTTTCAACTACTGAGCATCCACCTCTATAACTCCATGAGCCAAAAGATCTCGAACCTGTCGCTTGAAATTGCTACAATTCTTGATGGAGTGTCCTCGGGCTCCAGTATGATATTCACAAGTAACATCCTCATTATACTAACTCGGATAAGGGGGCAGCAAAGGCTTGGCCAGACGTGGGACAATCAGTTGGGCTTGGAGCAACTTTGGATATATCTGGCTATATGAAAACTCTTTTGATCCCACTTTCTCCTTGCCGTTATTATGATCATATTGAAGACCTTGTGACTGACCACTGGAACATTCGCTTTGAAGGTTTAACGTTTGACCAACATCTTGGGAGAGACATTGATTTGCAAATCTCCCTTCATCGATAAGTTTTGAGCTTCCGGGGAGCTTAGGTTTTCCATTTTCAAAGCATAACAACCCTTCCGTGATGAAGTTTTGAACTTTAAATCTTAGGATCGTACAATCTTCTGTAGAGTGGATAAACTCATGAGAATGATAACCGCATGATTTCTTGACACCTTGCCAGTCTGGACGCAAATAAGTATTGTACCTCGAAGGAAAAGGCTTTAGAAGCCCACTTTCAAAGAGAAAGGGTAACAAGTCTGAATATGAGATCGAAATCAAAACCATAGGTGTCCTCTTCTTCTTCTTTCTATTCTTTTTGGCCTTCTTTAGTGACACTTGAACCTCCTCTATGCCTCTTTTCTTTGAGTCCGGATCCACTTTCGTATTAGAAGTTTCACCCTTAACTTCTGCTTTTCCCAGTATGATCTCCGTAGCATCTTCTGGAATCTTACTTAATTTTTGGAGTTGACTTGAATTACCACATCCCCTAACAGGTTCTTGATCAGTTGCTATCATCATATTGGCTGCACCACTAATATTCAGATTCTCACTCGAAGTCTTCATCTGTTCTTGATCATTTGCTATCATCATATTGACTGCACCACTAACATTCAGATTCTCACCCGAAGTCTTCATATTTTCTTGTGTAATAGGGTCATCTGATGATTTATCCCCATATATCACTGTAATCATCATGCTCATCAACTTGGACATCTGTCCCCTGGATTCAACTTGGAACTTCCTTGCTTCATCAATCATTTCTTGTTGGGTCCTTACAAGCTGTTCTTGAATTCTCTCGATCTTACTAACTCGTGCTAAGATCTCATTCATTGTTGTCTCTCTTT